TGTCCACACTAGGAGATGTTCGCGCCTGTCTTGAGAATGTTTCGTGCGATTCCATAACCCCCGAAAATCGGCCTAGAGGACCAGGCATTAGATTTGGATTGGATTGGTTTCTGTGATGTTGAGTAACAAATAGGCAATGTTGCCTTACTACGATCTGCATAACGGTCACCTGCAAAAATTGGACCGCATCCTTTCTTGAAGAGAGCAGGAAGGGGTATAGAGTTCGCCGTCGCTGCACCTCTGTTGTTTCCTCTGTTATATTTGTTATTTGGCTTTTGGTATTAATTTAGAAGTCTGCTCTTCTGACGTGCAGTGCCTGTTGGCCATACAGTATAGTTTGCTCTTTTGTTCTTCAAAGCCTCACATCGATGAATAATCGCAAGAAGCCAACATAGAATAGTTAGAGAGAAGGTAGAAAACCAAGGTGGAGTCCATACGGAAAGAGGAAAGGGAATCTAAGGCTGAGGACATTGAAATGAACGGTCACGTGTACTGTACGGTATAGTATGCCATTCCATGACAGAAATATTGAGGAGGATGCCGTCTATGTTGAGGTGGTAAGCCTCACAACCAGGGCTCGACAGGGGAGGGGTGGGGGGGGGTGGGAGGAGGGACCTCGGTAGCAACATCCAGGTTAATACCCCTTATTCGGAGTAGTTGGTAGGGATTTCAATGTCACCCGTGGATTAAATACTGATATGTCTAAAGCTGTGTTCACAACTGCTGGATGTACGCCTGAAACCACACGTTTGTGCGTATTATTCTAGTCTAGTGCTCGTTGTTTTTCAAACAATCCATCATGACATAAGAATGGTACAGGGGCCGGCACATTCGGGCTCTCCGCCTTCTCCGTGAAAAAAAAGGTTTAAACTCGGGTGTTGAGCCGAGGCTTGTCACATTCGCTGATTGTGCCGGTATAATTATGATCTGGTAACACTGGTGGACAGTTAGTAATAACTCTTAACATTAAATTTTTGTCCCCTCATGATAAAAAGGCGGTGCGTATAATTATTAGCTAGCTTTTGGGGCGCCATGCGTATGGAAACGCGGCGAAATGGAAATTCCAAAACGTTGGAATTTTCAGCGCGTATCAGGCGCGTACCAGCGTACATGCCAGGCACTTTGACTGGCGGGGTCAAAAAATTAGTACTCGGGGATGTCGCACGCCCTATTACACTGGTCAAATTGGTGTTTTATTGTGAAAGCCTGAGTGCACGTTTGGGCACGCATGAACCGCAAGCGTACTGCATCCATGCGCCAGTTGGGAACACAGCTTTAGTGATCAGTGCCTAAAGCAGGAAACACGAGCAGAGGCGAATTTTATATCACTGGACCTCGTGCGTGATGTACTACATATTTCGCTAATCTCAGTTGTCACTTCTTGTTTGGTTGACTAATCGTCAGTATACACTAGACATTTATATAAACCCTTTCAGTACAATGAATGTGTCTGGTTTTTTTTTGGTCACTGGATATTTCTATGAAAGTGCACAAGCATTAGTAGAATGGAGAACAGCAACAACAAAAACGTCGATGACGACGGAGACGATGAGAAAAACACACCATCAACACTAACGGCGGTGTGGATAAGGATTTGAAACAACAACACGACGACGAAGACGATGAAGACGGCGAAGACTACGACGATGACGACGACGACAACAACAAAAGTTCTTCATCATTTTATTAAAAGAATACTATTTGTAAGATATTTATCCCACATAATTATTCATCATCATCATCATCATCATCACATTCACCTTGCCACTGTGAATTGTATTCTGTTTGGCCGTAAAAGAGGCGTGTGTGTGTGTTCTTCAAAAAGAATCATCATCAGCATTACATCATTATTAATTTTTTTTGATCCCATCTTCCAACCCGGCAAATATTTAGATTTTGATAAAAATGATTCAAAGCCCCTCAGTTATTTATTTTTTCAATTAATTATTTTGTAATACTTATACATGTATCTTATTAATATAAGGTTTGGAGACACCACTGTAGCCAATACTTGAATTGTATGACGGCGTTGCGCAACCTCGAAAACCTCCCAGAGGAATATACATGTATTGTAGCGTCTCTGGACGTTGTGTCATTGTACCAGAATAATCCTATTCAAAGAAAGCGTCGATGCGGCCACAGATTTATTAGAAGAGCATGAGGAATCAGTTGATATGTTTGCACTGTCATTATCAGACATACGCGAAATGCTCAGGAGTCAAATTTCTTTGAGTTTGACGGCGCCATCTATCGACAACAGCAGGGTCTAGCTATGGGCAACCACCTCGCGTCCCCATTGGCTATTATCTTTATGTCTAATTTCGAGTCACGTGCCCTGTCTCAGTATCCCCTGAAACCGCTCTTATATCGTCGGTATATTGATGATTGCATACTCGTTTGGATTATTATTTTTTTTCTTATTTTGTTAGGGATTTCCCAACAGGCAATGTTGCCTTTTTACTGGGAACCCTAAATGAGACTTTGTGTGAGCGCGAAACAAAGCAGGATCTTTGGTATTGCGGCATTTCTGGTATTTGTTGATAATCTCAATTCCCGCCAACCACGCATACAATTCATCGCAGAATATACACACACAACCAACTCTCACACCATCAGTTACTGTCAATCTCGGTGTCAGGTGACAAGTTGGACTGCGAGTTATTTGTCAAGTCGTCCCATAGTGGTGTACATTTGCCATTATTTGCCTGCTTTGCCAATGGAAACAAAAATCGCTCTCGCCATCCGCAGGCGGCAGGGCAGTCAACAACGCAACAACGGAGGCAGAACGAGAACGGGGGATTAAAAAGGTCACCACACTCCTCCTTGAGAACCACTACCCACGGCGCATTATACAATCAGCCATAAAACACTCCGACACCGCACGGACAACCGCACGCAACCGAGAGCAGCCCCACCAGCAGACACCACATCGGACGGGGAAACGACAGTACACGTCACTTGTCAAGGTACCGTACGTAAATGACCAGCTTGCAAGAAGAGTTCGTCAAGTGGTCAGGTCGTTTGACAGAGATGTGCGTGTGGTCTTTACGTCCGGTCGCTCACTAAAGGATATGTTGGTCTCGTCGTCATTCAGCAAGCCACAATGCCCCAGGACGGTACAGCAGCAGAGGGAGAAGAGGGGGCGGGGTCGGCCCGCTGAATGTCGTGCATGCGATGGTGGTCTCAAGCGTGATGCTTGTATGTCCCAAGATGTCGTGTAATCTATGACATGCACCATCTGTCAAGAAGAATACGTCGGGGAAACAGAAAGGACAACACACAGGAGGACTGGGGAGCACCACAGACAAGCCAAGAACGCGACATTGGGAAAGCCATGGGGAGACCATTATCGGCAAAAGCAGCACATCTTCCCATCGTCACCGCAGTTCTCACCATTCACCCATCTACAAGTTCTCGCCAGCAGGCAACGGTCATACGTTGACCGCAGAATCATGGAGGCACTATTCATGAGGAAGAGGAAGCCGGCAGTGAACAGTGACAATGGTTGGCGACTGTTGGGTGATGTGTAAATATATCTGTCATTACCATAATTTGTGCAAGAATTTGTGCACTGTGTGTGTGTGTGTGTGTTTCTGTGTGTGTATGTGTGTGTGTGTGTGTGTGTGTGTGTGTGTGTGTGTGTGTGTGTGTGTGTGTGTGTGTGTGTGTGCGTGTATGTATGTATGTATGTATGTACAGTCAGTATCGCCTATAGCGTTGGTGTTTGATTTTGAGCATTTTATCACTATAAGCGATATATTACTATGACCGATACTGCATGCAATGTATGCGAGTGGGGTGTCAAACGACTCAGCGCGCAGTGCATATACGCACTACATACATGCACAATGTCATATAGCTGGCTGTAGCTCCGGACACACAAAATCAGGATTTCCTCATGATGGAGGCATATTTAGGCAACTTGTACAAGCAAAACTCACCAAACAACACTCACTGGAAAAGTTCTTCACGAAGAAGTAACACCCTGTTCTCCTCTGACATCGCTTGATTTCACATCAATCACTATAACCGATGCTAAAATAGTGTAATAAACGTCTTTTGAAATATGAATTTGATCACTATAGGCGATATATTACTATAGACGATTATTACTATACGCGATAACTGTGTATACTTAGTTATGGCAAATGAAAATGAATTTGATAAATTGATCACTATATCCGGTATATTACTATAGCCGCCAACCTTATAGGCGATACGGACTGTATGTATGTGAGTGTTGCTAGAAGTGTGTATTTTTCTGCTTTGTACTCACACTAGTAATCCTGCACTATCACTGCACTATATTTTCACTTCATACATATCACACAGAATATGATCTCGCTTCCTGTGGTATTGCAACATTGTACGCTATACCATCACACCGTTGGCCACTAGTACTTGTCACATATAATTGTATTATGTAAACCCTATTTTGTCTACAGTAGACTTATTCCTGATGATGGGCCTTGCCCGAAATTTTGAACTAATGTATTATCAATTGCAGTGTAGCCTAGAGACCGTTAGAGAGAGTGTGTACATGGTGTGTGTACCGGATGTATGGATTCGAAATATAAGAATAATAATACTTTCACACAACACAAGCTCGGTGTAGCACTAATCACGGGAGGGGAGCCCGACCCTCCACCATTGCCAACTCACGAAGCAACATCATCATTACATCATCATTACACCATCATCATCATTACCCCATTCGTGACGAAAGAACAAACGAGCACAGTAGACAGCAAGGGCCCTGGAGGTGCTGTATATATCTGTGCAGGCGAGGAGAAGTGCACTCACCCGACCATGGTGCCGGGATCAAAGCACCAGTTACACACCTAGGGGAGGGAGAGCGCAGGAAGAGATAATAATGTACGTGAGAGTGGGGGAAAGAGCGAGCGAGCGAGCTGATGAGTGAGTGAATGCATGTCAGGTTAGTTTAGAAAGATAATTATACTGATGGGACAGCAGCGGCGTTCCGTATAGGGGGAGGGGGGAGGGGGGGGGGGGGGCAAGATGGAGAAGTGGAATCTAAGCTGCCATGCAAAATCACACACCGAGACTAGTCTGGTGAGAACTCGGGCAATGGAAAAGAAAGAAGAAGCGCGAAAAAATAACGCAAACAGTTTGAATCGATGTGCCATACTTTGATTTATAGTCGCAGCACAAACAGGTGGCTATGCCATCTAGAATGTCTGCAGGTAAATAAAGAAAATATCGGGCAAAAAAAGAGTGAAGGGTAATTGATAATGACGGTTCTATTATTCATTTTTCCAGTATGGTGAAAAGTGATCGCCAATCTTTGTTGCAAAGATGGAGGCTGTAGCGAACTCCCTTTAATACTGTGCACAACTGCACAGTTTTAAAGTGACTTGCAACATCTAGGAAAGAATATGGAAGAATTCACTTTACTGTCGACAAGAACGAGACAAAGTCGTTACCAGAGTGCAGAGTTAGCCAGTAACAAGCTTTGTTTGATACCACCACCGGTCTAGTCCGCAGGCCAGTGTCTTAGTCCGCGCAAACATGCGCCTCAAGCTCTTCACACGCTGGCCTGTCATTTGCCTTTTCCCGCTCTTCTGAGTCTGCTCTAATCTCGTTAAGAAGATCAGTGTTAACTTTTTCATATGCTTCTTCTTTGTCGCTGTCGCCGTGTTGCTCAAAAACACCTCCGATAGAATCGTATATTGCACGTTTAGTGCTCGGCACAGAGGGTGACAGGCTTTCGTTAAGGTATGTAACACTGCCTCTCGCCTGGCTTCGGCCAGAGCCAACTGTGTGGCCTTCAGAGTGATCGTCATCATCAGTCGCATGGCAGGATTCCTGATGCGACAAGTATTCACACTTCAACACAGGCACAGAGTGGGCCAGTTTGTAGGATGTGGAGATCCGGGCTGCGCATGAACCTTTACTAGAGCGCTGAAGCGAAGACTTGTTGCACGGCCTGTGCACTCTATCGTTGCAGGACTTGGAAGGATCTTCAGCTCTCACTTCCTCACCGCTAAGGTTGTCTGTGCCTGAGTAGCATGGGCCGCACAGCTGGTCAGGGTCACTGTCAGTTTCTGTGTGGGACCGATATCCAGACTCGACACCGGGCAAATTTTGCTCGGCGTTAGATCTGAGGTCTTCAAGCGTTGAGACAGGTGCTTCGTACGGGTCTTCACTGTCCTGCTGGAGAGAGCACCTGCTCAGAATCTTCGCTGCATCGTCACTGTCGTAGTCGGCGAGCTCTGGGGCTGCTGATCTAGTGAAGCTTCGGGTGTCCGCCATGCGCATGACCTCTAGGCCGAAGGAGCTGACCCTGCGCACACGAATCGGCCGGAGGGCCACATCACCAGATATACTAAGTACTTCTGCGGGTGTCAAGTAGGGACTGGTCTCCGCGCCGCAGGATATACGCAGCATGCTGTTGCCGTCGTCCGGTGGAGTAGTGGGCAGAGGTGGGCAATTGCCAGCTCCAGGTGAGACACACGCAACCCGTTGGTAGGGATCTTCGTTCAGGTTGTGACTGTTCAGAGACATGGTGCCCAGTGATGTTGCAGCCAAACTGGGACGATGGGACACAAACCGCCCGATTTCAGATAACACAGTGGAAATTCGCTGGTAAGGGTCTTCGTCGTCTTCATCAAAGTCACCACTGCTCAGGGAACCGGGGTCGAGTGCTGATGCTGTTGTACTGTGATGAATGGACTCCAGGTCCTCGGCTCCAAGTAGGATGGGGGTGATTTTCTGGTAGGGATTTTCCTGTGTGATAAAGTTGGGAGTGGTCAGAGATATGGGACCGAGAGTTGAAGCCGAGGGACTGAGGGCATGGGATGCTTGATTTCCATTTTCAGGCAAGAGGGTGATAACTCTCTGGTAGGGATCTTCGTGTGCGATCAAGCCGGGACTGTTCAGGGGTATGGGACCGATAGTTGAAGCCGAGAGACTGAGAGCTTGGGACGCTTCATTTCCATTTTCAGGCAAGAGAGTGAGAACTCGCTGGTAGGGATCTTCGTTCAAGTTTGGAGCGCTCACGGATATAGCGCTCTCTTCTGCTGCCACCGAACTTAGAACGGAAAAGATGCGTGCATACGGTGAAACCGCACCAATAGAACTCCGGTGGTGGGACCCATGGGAGCTTGGTGACAAGAGTGGGCCGGGTACTGGTGGTAGTTTGTCCACAGATAGCCTGCGTCCAGGGGTAGGCTGGTTCTTGTTCAAATAGTTGGTGCAGATAGCTGGCA